ATTGAGAATTAGGAGTAGGCATCTGTGATGCTTCCCATGAGCTGTAAGGCACTCAGAAACGCACTGTGAGTAAAACTGAAGCACTGTGCGTGTGGAAGGGTGGTTTTATCACACTTGGTAAGTTTGGTGTGAGAAAAAGAGCAGTCTGGAGTGTTCAGCTGCCTTCTCCTTCCAGGTACAGTCAGGCATTTAGACACCATGTAAGGGCATGGAAAAATTTGCCAGATCTGTATATGCAGTAAGATTTGTGTAAGAACCACACCATCCTTATTGATCCTAGCCGTCTTAGAAGAGTAAAAACATTCCATACTGCTGTGTCCAGCATCGTGAGACAACATCAGCTTCTGCAGTATTAGTTAAAAATTTTAAAAGCCTGTAGGGATATACATGCTTTGTCTACACTCAGGCCGTCTGTTCTGAGGTCTGTCGTTTGGAAGGCCAGTGCACGTGTGAAGATAACAAAAAGAACTTACAAAAAGTGGAGAGAAATGCACATAATGCACTAAAAGTATGAATGCAATTAAGGGAATAAGTTCATGTTTTATTCAAGTTTCATGTATGTTTATAGCCCTGCCATACTACAGTAAGTTAGATTGTGTATCGTATGCTGCTAAACTGCTTCTAATATAAATTAATTTCTAAAATGGCTTTACTCTGCTGGCAGCATTCTCAACATCGTTTCTGTGAATAGCATTTATACCGTGTACATCTTGATGATATAAGATACAAATAGATTGACAAGTAGCCTAAATGCCTATATATAAATAATAGAAACAAAAAATAGAATAAATAAGGAAAAAGAAATCAAGATAAAAGGGAAAGAATGAATATGGAGAAAAGATTCATAATATTGGACAGAGTTATTTATTATATGTCTCATAAGCCTTGCTAACTCCTGAAAGATTTTGTTTATTGTCAAAGAATAGAAGGATGGAAAAAACTATTCAGTGTAGCTATTTTGTTTGATCCTTTCTGTTTATTTTTTTTATCTGTGGTCTCCGAATACTATGCCTGTAGATTTTGTGTGAGTTTGAAAATGAGGTGGGGGGAGATGGGATTTTATTTTGTGTGTTTTAATCTGGATTTCACCTCCACTTTAAATTCTGTGCCAGTTACCCATACCAGACCACCTTTATGATCCTTAAAATAAAAAAAAGTAATTGTGTCTTTTTGTTCCTAAAGCAGTTGTGAACAGATCAGTTCCAGATGTCTGTGCCACTTGCCACATTCATGCTACGTGTCATCAAATTGAAGAAAAAAGCGTTTGCATCTGTAACTATGGATTTGTAGGCAATGGAAGAACCCATTGTCAAGGTAGGCTACCTGTTTGTAAAAGGTATATGAAAAAGTATACATTCTTAAAATATTCTTTCTTGAGTAATATTACTGAATTATTCAAAACACAAAGAGCTTTGTCATTTCCTGGCAGAATTTCCAAAACCTAGAATATGTGTGGATTTTTTTTCTTTTTTTTTTTTTTTAAACCGACTAGCCATGAGCTGTACTTCACTTGTACTTAACTGTTGTTATTCAGTTTCTGCTGGAAGGAAGAGCAGAAGCAGAGAGCAGGGCTCTCTGGTTTCAGCAGCTTTTAGTTCAACTCAAGCTGTGTCAGGAAACTTTGTTCACAGTTTCATCCAGGGACAGCAACTCCTGTTGGTCTAAATACTTCAGCTTACTAGTGGTGTTTACATCCCAAATAACTTACTTAGAAAGAAGAACAGTGAGGGGAAGTCTGGTTGCACAAGACTGAGTGAGGAGGGAAGGATATTCTACTTTCCTTAATCTCTCTCTGATGTGTTTTAAATGTGCTGACAGATAAAGATGAATGCCAGATTGGTGCCAGCAAGATCTGTGGAAATTATACGCTGTGCCATAATACACATGGAAGTTTTTATTGCGTTTGCCTTGAAGGATACCGAGCCTCCAACAACAACAAGACGTTTATTCCCAATGATGGCACGAACTGTACAGGTAGACATCACAAAGAAACTTGAGCACCAGGAATCTGGAATTTAATTTTCTACTACACAAATCTTTTTTTCCCCATGACTTTAGAACTTACTTTCTAAAACTATATCAGAGCACTTGCTGCTGTGGATGCAAAGGCTTATTTGACACCTGGGTTCTAACAGCTATAAATTAGTTCCATTTTGCATTCTTTGCTGTGTTACAAATCATTGCTTCACAGTCACATTCAGGCAACGATCTTTCCAGAAGGAGCAGCTAGATTAAAGAAAATAAGATAACACTTATCTTTCCCTGAGAATGTTATATTTGTGTTTAGTGTAGAGTATTAGCCAGGTCCTTGTTACAATAATGAACTGTTGTAACTGATTAAGATATTTGCAGATACGGGATTTTGCTGTAGCAGGAGATAACATTGGAAACTGTTTATCAGGTAAAACAGAAACCATTTAAAAGATAGCTAGCTACAAAATTGAGAGTCTCCTCTTTCCAGATGCTTGAATACCACGCAATGATAAGCTCCTGTGTTTCCCAGAAGAGCTATCAGAAACTATGTAGAACCATTTGTTTTAAGCTTGGGTCGTCCATGAATTAATTTCAAAAAACCCACATTATGAAGTGCTTATATTTTATCCTAAATTTTTAGATATAGATGAATGTGAGGAGTCTGGACTGTGTGGTCGCAACGCAAGATGTGTGAATACTGAAGGAAGCTACAAGTGTTACTGCAATGATGGTTATAAATTAGAAAATGGAGAGCGTTCTTTTCATCCAGATGGGAACACAGTTTCATGCAAAGGTGAGAGTTTTGGATGCTGTTTTTGCTGGCGGATATGATGATACCAGCTTACATGATATAGTAGTACCTGCTCTGACCTGTGCTTTTAAGTCTGCAGGGCAGAAGCCCTCTCTGTGGCTTTTGCCTGCCATATGATTTTTTTTCTTCTTGGGTTCAGTTTGTTCCAGTGACGTCTGGATGGTAGAGTCGACACTGCATGCGATTTCTACAGGCTTTCAGCAGTGGTTCAGGTGTGCAGTGTCAGAGAAGCTTAGTAATGCCGAGAAGGTGATGTAGCTGGTTTCTGAATAAGAAGGGAGTGTGGTATAATCCACTTGCTTATATAATCAGGCTGCATGAAGGGGAAGGGAAGAGAGGATAAATATCTGGTAAGAGAGGTCAGATGAGTGAAACAAGCCTAGGAGAGAGGAATAATAAAATAATAGTTTAGCTATTTATTACATACTGTGCCACCTGCATAAATAAAGTGTTCTGTTTATCTTGCCATTAAAAAAAAATAAAAATCAATTTGAAACCGTTCCTCTTTTCCTCTCTAGTGTTAGGTTTCCACAGATGTGAAGTGCTAGCGGTGTAAGCTGTAGCTGTTGGAGTATATAATGAACCCAGGCATCTCAGGTGGAAGCAGCTGCCTCGATTATATCCAGCTCTCATTTCTGAATTATTGCAAAAACCATCAGTAAAGCTCACTGCCTGTAGCTCTTCCGCTTCTTCCAACTGGAGTGCTCCACTTCATTTTGCCAAAATTACTGACAACCCTGCTTATCTCACAGACTTCCCGCTCCAAGTGCTGTGGCAAACTAGTGTGTCTGTACTGACTGTGTCGCTTGTGGGGTCGGACAGAGGAGCCCTGTCAGGCGTCTGTGCTGAAGCGATGTAGCTTCTGTACGCAGACCGGTTCAGTGAGATGGAGGAATTGAGGGACAGGCCATTTCATTTCAGCCTGTCCACAGGGCTTCACCTTTCCTGCACACAGGGAAATAGAACTATGCAGTAGGGCCTGGAATTTTCCCCTGGTGTTGAAGGCTCATTCAGCCATTGCTGTAACGAGACTGGCACACAGAGAGCACCACCACATTGCAGTATCTCCTCTGTGCTGTTGTGAGTGGCTCCAGCTGTATGTTAGTAAAGATGTAGGTCAGTAACTGGATCACTGTGTTCCTCCAGCTGTGTGGACAGTACAGCTCTTCAACTCCAACCTCCTACCTCTTTGGTGACCCCTCAGATTTCTCAGATGGGGTGTGTTTTGTGACATGGCCATCCCAGTTCAGCACGTTTTAAAGGGGCCATCTGTTGTGATTTTCATACTGTGAGATTTTTTTAACTTGATCTTTTTGCAGAAATTGGATGTGGTTCCCCTCCTGAAATGAAGCATGGCTACATCGTAGGAAACTACAGCTTGCTACCAGGAAGCGTGGTTCGTTATGAATGTAAAGAAGGATTTTACAGCAACGAGGGAAAGTTCTCGTATTGCACTGCAAATGAAACTTGGGAACCTGCCACTTTAAGCTGTAAAGGTGAAAAGAGACTGAAATCTTTCTTAAATTCTTAATTAAGGGGGTTTATGCATGGGGAAGTGTGTTTGTGAAAGACAGTATAGTGTTTCCTCAGTCTGAAGGATAATTTTTCAAGACCTAGCTGTGTGCAAAAAAAGAAGAAAGGAAAAGGACAGGTTGTAAAATTGTGCCACCTCTTCTTGTTAGTGTTATGACATTTTTGATGCTGATCCTTGCATGTTTGCAGACACCGCAATGTCTCCTTGTGCCTGTGAATCAAGACCTAGAAAACAACTAGACTCCTTCAGCCTTTCATGGGAAAGGCTGATGAGTTGGAAGATACCATGACCTTTTCATGACCTCCCATGAAAAGAACAGTTTTTCTGACAGCTTATGAAGTTTTTTCCTAAGGTTGACTGTAGGAATTGCATCACCCCTCATCTCTGGATAGTCTTCATGATTCCAAGAGCATTTGTGCATGAGCACGTGCTTTCACATCTCTGAAGTACAAAGTCTCCCATGAGCATCTTTAAAACTTCCACTTGCCTAAAACTTCCTAATTATACATTCAGTTGAAATATGACTGCTTACAAGTGCAAGATTCCATGTTTCTGTGAACAGTTAGAAAGTCTGTATATGAGTTAAATGACAGTTGAAGTGCTAGCTAACAGAAGCTACACTGTGTGTAACAGTTCTACAGGGGAGAATTGGCATCCTGAAGATTATCACTTAGTGAGGAGAAAATACAAAGCCCTCTTGGTTTCTAATTCCCGCCTTCCCTCTTTTTTTTCTTGAGAGTGGATAGAAATGTAATGTTTGTATAGGTGTCTTTGGGAGGTGAATAAATTGGAATAAGGATGCTAAATCAGTGTGGTTGTGAAAACTGAAATATTAAATATCACTAGAAAACTTATGAGAAAGAAAAGATAAAACAATTTAATACTAATCTTGTAATAAAAAATAAAACAATTAAAATAACATTTTTCTCCAAAAATAAAGGACAGTGAGTGTGAAAACAAAAAGGCCATACCCAAAGTCTCAGGAGGTCCCTAAAGAAAGCTTGTGGAATGCAGACCTTGCGAGCTGGTGGTACATTTGGGTTTTTATTAATATTTTTCAGTGATTGCTTTTTCATGTCATTTTTTTTTCAGATTTCTGCAGTCAAAGAGTAGGAGTTTCTGAGCACATCTCTCATGGTTAATTGAAATTAAATACATTAAACACCAAAAACCAGCCCATGAGTCTGAAATGACAAACTTATTTCCCCTTTGCATTGCAAGCTCTCTTCCTGGATTTCAGTTCGGACTTCTCTTTTTGTAAAACCAGCAAGTCTGATTTTTTCTTTTTTTTAATATTATTGAAGGCACCTCTAAATAATTCTTTACACTCTCAGAGTTTCCCTGATAAATCTTTATCGCTAATTTAGGAATTTCTCCTGGCCTGGTGGAATATCTTCTTTTTCAGGAAAATCAGTGTTTGTCTTTTGTCTTCCTTCCTGTGGTAATTTAGGTGTTTATATAGTCACGGTGAAACTGGCCACTGAAGGTAGATCCAGCTTGGTAAGATGTGTGAGCTAATGTCAGGGTCTGTAAGTGGAGCAGATTGGGTTTTTTTATCTAGATACAAGTATGTGAATGTACTGTGTCTTTGAAGAGTACAGCTTCCTTTGAATATTAATAATATAATTGTCTTGAGATGAAAAGTCAGATAGTTTAATTGGAAAATGAGGTGTACATGAAGAGGTGTAGTTAAACTGTTGAATGTGAGGGTTGGGATATGCTAACGTGAAAGCCTTTTAGATAGTTGCTTACCTTAGAAAATCGACATCATATCAAACAAATTGGATTTTGTGCTACTTGTCTTCTTAGTTTTATGCATTTGTAATTGACAACTTGACATGTTTGTGAATAGAGAACTGTTACAATGTGTTTTGAACACCGTGTAGAGTCTTACTTTAACAGGAAGCTTTTGTATTGTATGTTGTAACTATTGTAATGTTCTATGGTTTTGCATTTCTCTGGTCTTTGTGCACTTCTAAAAATTTTGCTTCCTAAAGGCAGTTTCTGCTCATCTGCCTTCCTCTGGCTGTTGCTCACTGCAAATGGTATAGCGTCAGCTTGCCACCTGTCATCAGTTTTGTAAAAGCAGGAAAATCTTAAAGATTAAAAAAAGGCCAGGACATTTTCTGTGTACTAGCAGCTAGGCTGAGGAAGGAGTCACAGATTTAGCATGCCATGCTGAGACATAAGGCAGAGAGAAGTCATTTTATTTGGAAGCAGGTCTGGAGCAGGTCAGTCTCAGTCATGGTGGCGATGTCACAGAGGACATGGAGGGAGCATTGGATTAGCATGGAAGAAGAGGATTAGTTGATGATGATGAAAGAAATACTCATGGGAGGGCATTCATCATTACTTCTTCTGCGTGACTAACAAGTTTATCTTCCTCTTTCTTCCTTTCCCTAGGTGTGGATTGTGGGGTTCCACCTTCTGTTTTAAATGCCCGTCCAGCATCTGTAAGTGGGACTACATATGGAAGTGAAGTTACTTACAGTTGTGTTCATGGTTACTTTATTGCAAGTGGCAATCAAACTGCAGTCTGCAATGCCAAAGGACAGTGGGAGGGTACTGATTTGGTGTGCAAAGGTAAATCAAGTCTGCCTTCAGATTTATTTAGCACAGGCACTGTTTCAGGCACTGTAATAAATAGCAGTCATCAATTAGAGACATCCTGTTTGGGCATTTGGTTTATACAGTCTTCTCTCCTGTGAAGTTCAGTCACAAAACAAAAGTCATGTGTTAAACAGGGGTTTTTTTATCCGTGTTGCTAATGAAGTTGTGATTAATTGTTGAAAGTTAACCTTATAAGGACAAAATCCTAGTGCATGTCAGGCATTTTTCTAGCTCTGTATCATATCTGTGGTTTAAGCCACGACTCAGAAATTGAACCGCTATTAGCAGTTAGCATCCCCTTAAAATTCCTGTGTTCAGACAGTTTCCAGTTACAAACTATGATTGCTCAAGCTATTTGCTATTGTTGTCATGAGTCATATATCCCTTTTGTTACTATGATTTGGAAGAATATAGCCTAACAAATTCCTTGATAAGAAGAAACACAAAAGTACCATTTTAAAAAATATTTTTACCCAACAGAATTTGTAGTGTATTGTTACTCTGAGCTCATATTATTAATTAATGTGACCTCAGGATAATTACGGTCTTTAGTCAGTTTTTACTTTGGCACAACTTCACTTTTCCATTCACTGGATGACTAATATCTTTTCAGCTTGATCCAGCAGGGTTGAGTCTTCTGTTCATTGCACTCAAGTGCAGTAATTTTTTTGTGTGTGCCGTGTCTACGTTACAACCACTCTCCACTTTTGGAATCCTTAATACTCTCATTCTGGGTCCCCAGTCTCAATAGAAGGTTCACTATGTTACACAGAAACTTCTGCATTTCTGCTTTTCAGTCTGCTTACAGGATGACTGTGGGCAGATAGCTGGAATTCAGCAGCAGTAGTTTTTATGTCTCATCACATACTGTCCTTCTGTAAGTTAAGCATATTCTTTACATGTGCATTAGTTATTCTGAAACTTGTTTTAATGATTTATAATAGATGCATTCATCCACATTGGGATATGAAAAGGTAGTGTGGATGGTGGGTGTATTGCCCATTGCAATACATATGTTTAACTTTTCCTTTAGAGGTTGTACAGGTCACTGTTTTATACACTTTGGTTTTTACTTCTTTGTTTTCCTTTTTTTGAGTAGAATTTCAGAATTGCTTAAGGTTATTTATTAAACAGTTTTAAAAACACTTGTTTTCTGTATATAAGTTTTAGTGAAGGTAGGATTTTTATTCTTGCATTGTTTACTTCTTATAAGTGAAGTGATACAGAGTTGTTTATTGGGCTGTAATGTTCACTGTAGATTTGAAGGGATTTTTAACCCTAAATAATATTCTTCCATTGATTTCATGTTCACTCTTTATTCTTCTTTGTTCCCTAATTTTCTTATGAAGCCCCTGAAAACAACTGACTGAATGAATTAATTTATAAGTGCATTACCCCAGCTTTCTAATTATCTCTGAAGTAGTCTGAATAATCCATCAGATTTTCCCCCAGAAGTTGCTCTTTCTGCTTGTCTGTAGCAGCTTCTCCTTTTGTCAAAGGTTGAATTAAATCCCCTCGCAAGGAACATAACCTTCTTGACAGCTCTTCTATGCCACTCCTTGGACCATGTGTTGTTTTTCAGATCTATTGTTGGTGATGATAGCTAAAATAGAGGAATAAATAGCATGTGGGAAATAAAGTGTTGTGGGAAGATAGATCCACTTGTAAAAATTTGCTCAGAGGTCCTTGTTCTCCATTTGTAAACTGGACACTTCTTTTATCTTATGGTTCCTCTTGGAAGATAAGTGCCCTACCCTGCTAGAAACTCTCCAGTCACAAAATTCTGGGTTCTAAATGGCTGGCCTGACTTCTAGAAATCACTAGGAAGTGAAGAGAAGTGAAGTGTTACTTGCTGGGAGAATTCATCTCTCTTCCTTAAGCACTTTGATACACCTTGCCTGTTTTCATTTTCAGGTTTCGTTACCCTGGGTTTTTTTTCTGTTTCAGAAATAGACTGTGGCAAACCTTTGCTGATTCCACACACAGAAATGATCTGGCACAACTCTACCACGCTGTGGAGCAGAGTGTACTATCGGTGTAAAGAAGGATATTATTTTAATGGAGACAAGAATTTTTCAGAGTGCACAATAGATCAGTTATGGGACAATATTACATACACATGCAAAGGTAAATATTACTGTAGGAACTTGCTGTGGGTTGTGCTATTTAAATAGTTTCCCATTCCTGTTCTGAAGGTAGGAACAGGAGGAAAGATGAAGGCAAGAAATCTTTATATTTATGATGCAGGGAACATGGTGGTGGTGCTTCTGGATGGAAAGGTCATGGGAGAGAGTGTTAACCATGCTACAGTTTCTAGTGAATGCAACAGATCTTTCTGTAGCTGTCTTGCTGTTTATTTCAAACAGAAAGGGACTAATGCAACTGGAGTTCATTGCTGCACTGAGAACTTTCAGCTTTAAAAGATGGAGGAGCATCACCAGATAAGCAGAAGATATTTATTGACATTGGTTGTGGGCTTAATACTGTAAAGTGCACTGTGATGAAAGTAGGGGCAATGGAATGCAAAGCTCCTTTTTCTTTTTTTTATTCTCTCATAATGCCCAAAGTAGAATTTGTTCCTGGTTGCCTTTCCAGCCTAGATCCAGTTCTCTGAATTTCAGTCCAGAAGGATTTTCTCACAAAAGAATTAGCCTTGAGAAGGGAGGTCTGTAATGAAGGTGGTGTTACACTGTGGGCTTGGAAACAGGATGTACTGACATTTTAATAATAGCAAAAAAAATAGCAGATGTTTTGGCCTGTGGCTGTTGTGCTCCCTGTTGGTGTTCTGTGTCCTTAGAAAGAAGTATCACAAGATAGCCTATGACTGTCCATCTCTTCTTCTTAAGTAGCAGTGCTGTCTTTTGCAGATGGTAATGTTCCCGGAGCTTTGTAACATCCATGTGTTTTTCAAAAGGACTTGAAGTGTGTCTTTGACTGCTGCCACTTCACAGACCAAACCGTTACACAGAGAGTTGCCACTTGATGCCTCTCTTGCCTCACTTGATGTCTGGAGTATTCACTATGAATAGAAAACATGTGACATCAAATAAAATGAACATGCAGAAAAGGAGTTCTCTCACTTTTTATAGCACCCTAATGGAACTGCTGTTGTTAGAAGTTGTAATTCATTTTTCATCTAGGCAGTTTGCATAGTTGTACTTTCTGAATTGGGTGTTGAAGCCAGCTTTGTCTGGAGTGGCAGCATTAATCAGGTGTGTCAGTCTTTGCAATGCCAAGGGTTCTGTCTTGAGCACTCTGAAGCTTTGAAGGGCCTGAACCCGCAGACAGCACTCACGGGATTGCCATGGGTTTCAGCTAGAGCTTTGCCAGAGGCAAAAATGTAGACTCCAGCTCCGGCTGTTGGATCAGAGGGCCACAAAAGTCAGTGCTACAGTCAAGTAGAATGGAAAAAAAAAACTTTCAAAAAATAGCCTAACTAGTCTAGGCTCCTTTTCAGGGGCTGGGGGGAGAAAGAACAGGAAATTACTACAAAGGTCTTCAGCTTCTTAACTTCTACATTTTTCACACTTATTAGAGGTAACAAATGACTTTCAAATGAAATGAAATTTCTGTTTCAGTAATGATGCCTTTCAGATGTATATAATTTTATCAGTGTGTGTAATTAATCAGTAATTCCCATTAAAATGAGAGAAAATCATGTACCATTCCAAAATAACTTATGATACAAGTCCAAAGACCATTTTTCTTTTTCTACTGCCTGAAAAACCTCATTAGAAGTAAGGAAGTTAAGAATTTCCCCTGAGCATGTTCCCTTTGGCAAATAATCACTTCTTCATTTCTTAGGCAGTGATTGCTGTGGAATGCCCTTTAATTGCATTGTCTGTTGCATTGTCTGCTGGGGTATATAGTAAATGTGTGTGTGTGTTTATATACATGTATATGTAAGTACATTTAATGGTAGCTGGTTTAAATATTAAAAAATTACTCTACTGAAATTAATTGTACTGAGAGGCGCTGGTTGGATTAAAGCTGTCAGCAGTGAAGTCTGGCAATAGTAAGCTGGATTGCAGTCTTCCTTTCCCAACCCTTGATTTGTGTATGTAAACTCAAGAGACTCAAGTGCAGAGAACACACCAGCAGTTAAATACCTGCTGTCCAGGATGCTCAGTGTGGGAGTCTGAGCACCCTGTACAGCTTGTCCTGGAAGAACTGCTTTTTCCCCTATGGAGCAGTAATGTGTGGTTTCATTTATTTTCATTGCAGAAATGGTGTGCTGCTGTTATTCCAGGCACACATTGTGTTGAGCTCTGGTGGGATATTTCATGGTAAATCTGGGAAATTTCTTTCAGAGTGAAAAACAAGATCCCCTTGTGGAAATAATGTTGCAGTTTGTTTCAGGGAAGGGCTGTGAAGCACTGTAGCGTGGTGGAATACAATAGCCTGAAACAAGAACCTTGGTTTTCCCGTTGGTGAGTTTCAGAGGAGAAATTGTCAACCTGAGCTTTTTTGGTAGTAATATGTATCTTACCAAGAGAGGTTGGTTGGCTGTGGGCTCAAAATGGGACATAAGGTAACATAAGACTTACAGTTGCATTTTTTATTAAAGTGAAAAGTATAAAACGAAGCCTTCACGTTCATGTTGTTCTTTTTGAGTAGATTCCACAGATTAGGGTGGGGGTTTTTAATTGTTCATCATGGCTGTAAGAAGGACAGAAAAAGTAATTTGTGCCTTGGTTATCTCTCTGAGATACTTGTTCCTTAATTTGCACTTGCAAATGGCACAGTGCACAGTGTATAGCGTAAGCCATTGCCAAGTCCATGAGGAGTATAATTTTGAGAAGGACAGAGAAAGGAACTGAGGGTGCCTGAGATGAAAATGTGTGAATGAGTTGGTTTTGTCTCTCAGTTAGCTTGGGTACAAGTGTTTGATAGTAAAAGATCAGGAAGGGCTAACATAGATGCTGAAGTAAAATCTTTTCCCCTTGTATGTGCATGCATGTACACACATACACTCAGAGCTTAACTTTTGAGAGCTTACTTCTTGAGCATCCAAGGAAAGTTAAGATGAGTTATGGTGAATAGGGTGCTTATAGAGGTACCTTGTTCTTAATACCATGTGCAGCTCTTAAACTTTTTTTGTTACTTTTTCCATTCTTCACAGTTGTGAAAGGACCGGTTCATGCACAAAAGGGACGATGTCTGATGCAGTTTTCTGTATTAACTGGACAACTGTTAGGGATATTTTAAAGGAAAATAGTCCCTTTACCTACTGCAGCTCTCTTCATCCTTCTACTACTCATCAAGCTTTTTCCAATTTCCCAGTCCCAACTGCTAGAGATATCCTTGTCATGGAGAGCTTTTCAGAGTCTCTGACCTCTCCTTTCTGCAACAGTTGGCTCAAGTCCCAGCTGTGAGCACATAGGCTGGGTTGACTGCTGCTTTTATTCTGATCCTAGAGAACTCCTTCTCTGTGTCTGTTTCTTTGGAGTTTGTTAGTATTCGATGTGTTTAGCATCTATTGGTGTCCCTAGCAACAATATGGTGTATTTAAGAAAGACAATCAGTTTGTCCAGTTTCCTTATTTTTATTAAGGGAAAAGAAAATACAAGTCTGCATTAAATAATAACTTCTCAGTATTTAAATAAGTCTCCAGAACCACTATTCACTATATTATTAGAAATGTATTTATTAAAGTGTTTTTTTGATACATTAAGTAAAATATTTTCCTTGCAAAAGAAGCAACTACTGCACATGGGTGGCAAAAGTCCATGAATATGTAAAAAGGCTGGAAGAGGCAATGAATCTGACCTGCATGGAAAGGTAATGTGCATTATTGGGAAAGCATTTCAAAACTCAGGCAGTGGGAAATAGCTTTTGGAGTCAAAAGGTAAAATTGACCTTTGTGACCCTTTAATGCTGAGTCTCACGGCACAGCAATCTCAATGGTCAGTTGTGAGAGTCTTCCAAAGTAGTGTTAGGCAGTAAGGGCTGTTGGCAGATTGTAGGCTTTGTGTGCATGGTCTATAGAGGAAAAGATGATCCAGTCCCAATGTATTGTGAACCTGGAACTCAAATAGGGAAAAAATCATTCTTCATACCAGTGCACGTTCTGTCTGATCCTGAGCTTGGAGCTTCCGAGTCATAACCTTTTGTGTGTGTGCTCTTTTTTTGTGTTACCTCTTACTAAATGCAACATGAACTGTCCATCTTTCACTAAAGGTTCATTTTCTGTTTCAGAGTGCTTCATTTTTCTGCGTTGTGATTCCCCATCCGCACATAGACTTCAGCTGCATGTCTTGACCTCTGGAGATTTTGTTGAGATAATCATGTGAAACTTGAGTATTAAGGTAGTGAGGAGTACCTTCAAGGAGTACCAGCAACGGAATAAGGTGTTAGTTGGTTTTGAGCCATTTCTGAGAAAACAGGTGCTGTGTGCCAGCACTGAAAACCCTAACAGCAGGAGGATGGATGGAGGATACCTGCTAAATACATGCTTCAGAGATTTAAAGGTTTAGAAGGAAGAGCATTGAATAAGTCCAGAAAAAGCATAGCAGGTTGTACATGCTGTGTACCTTAAAACATTGCAGAAGAGGGAAAGAATATTTACATAAAGCAAAAAAAAATCGGAGAAAAACCCAAACCAAAATCTGAATCATCCTTCAGGTGTCATTTAACTGTGGACCTATAGCAAAGATAATTTCCATGCTACTGAGATCATCTACTCTCTTTTTAATCTGCAGTTGTTTTCTCTTTGCTTTCACTTTCCCTTCTTCTCCTATGTTTTATCCCAATTTCCGTGACTGATTTCCCCTCTAGCTAGAACTTTCTGGGATGTCAGTTTTTACATCTTCACTTGTACAATCAGAGAAGATACAGAAAGGCAGCTGGAAGGTTTCTGTGGTGGCAGCGTCAGTCATTTCCACACAAGAATGAATGGGTTAACTGTCACTCTCCTGAATTTTATTCCCAGCCATGTGGAAATAATTCCTGTCAGCAGTTAAGAGCTTAATATAAAAGGTGTCACTTGCACCTGTGGGCATTAATTCAAACCCTGTGGTTCTGTAGGAATAAGAATTGCATCAAACAATTATGATGATTATAGTAATCAATGAAAAGGATCTGATTGGCCTGAGTTCTTGTAAAGGCCTAATTTGTTATGTTAAATC